TTGGCAGATTGAGGAAAGAGCATCAGTGGTATTTCCATTCAAACTGAAGGAGATTTACACCGTAGACTTCATCGCGACAGGGCGCAATTCAGTATCGGTAGCTTTTTTGTTTTTCGGGCAGCGATGCACTTATTTCTTGATTCGGCGTATTTGATTATTTATTATTTATCAAGTATTTGAGCTGGCCGTACTCAAGAATAGGGAATCTCGAAAGTATCCGATGCAGAGGGACACATTCCGCGATACGGGCTGGGCGGAGACTCGTAACCGTCGTGCATCTCGGGCGCGCCCTTGTTACCGTATAAGGAGGGGCTCGCCAGGGCTCGCAAGTGGGGATGATGCAGTAGTTGTGGGTACTCGCCCGTCCGATTATCGCGGAAGGTGCCTTTGAGCTGACAGGCTATCCAGGCAGCAACAGACGAAGATTGATGGACGTGGCTTTCATGCGCCACTGTCGAATAATTTCAAAAATCCAGGTATACAGCAACGGGCAATTCCTCTACGACTTCCACGAACGACAGTCCGGCTGGTCAGTTACGTCCATCGACATCGGCGGAGATGTACACGTACACTCCGTGCAAATCGAATAAATTCAGACGCTTACAAGTATCATGTCCGTTGAATGAAAAGTTTACAATTAAACAGCAGTTTTGCACTGCTGTTCTTACATGTTCTGCTTTGTGTATACCGAAGTTAAGTGATCGTACCAAAGCGTTTTGGGAAGAAAGGGCCCATGATCTGAATGTATATGGCACGATAATTTGGTATTCGGTATAAAATGCTAGCAGGGTTCAATATCCTGGGAGAAAATAGCGAAAAAAATGAAGTGAAACGATCAAAACCTGCGAAGAAAAGCCTTCGTTCTCAATGATTCAAAGCATTTTGGACGAGTTTCCCGTAGGCATCTTGCCAATAACCGCTACGGTAGATACGGCTGCATGTATGTACTCATATATCCATGCAGCACCGCGGCCGCTTCATATCAATCCCTTCGCTTCATAT